AGCTGGATTTTCACGGAAAATCCAACGGTAAACCGGTCTCAGAGAATGACTCGTCTACCCTGAGGACTTCTCGTGGCCGGACTAACAATTCCGAGCCAGCATCAACGTAAAACGGTAGAGTGGGCGAGGTCCACCATACTAGGAGTAATTCACTCGATCTATCTTCGTCTTTTCAGCCGAGAGACCTCGATAAAACGTATCTTCCAGGAGCCATTTCTCCATGTATCTTTCGCCGAGGATGTTTCCATTCCTCTGACGTATTCCTTTCCTCTCCAGAGTGGCTCAACTCTGGAGAAGTCGACCATTACCTGCGAATCCTTCTCACTTCTCGGAGCGCCGAACACTGAGAGGCACATGCGACACAGGTATCCGGAGACTTATTCTCACTCACCTGTGCCCACCCCAACTCAACCTCAATGCTCGGTGAAAGCACTATCATCGCGGGCCAACACCCAGATTACTCGTCGTGGAGGGACATGCGATCGGGCCTCCAGGAGTCGGCCTAACTCCCGGCCCACGGATCCACGCCAACACCACTTCTTTCGTCCGAAGTGATGGATCCCTGAGAACATGGAATTATAACACCCCACCTCCTCAAAGTAATCCGATCATTCTGTTTGGGACGCCGAAGCGCCATTCTCTCGCTGTTCCGGATCTTGTCCTCACAACGGATCCCCATAATCCATAACGGATTAATGCCACTTACGACCGTCGTCGAGGACCGGACGATTTTCATCCGCTCGACTCCAGTGCCTGTCACCGACTGTCTCAAAATCTACTAGGGCCTTCTCCGCCTAGTCTGAACATCTCAGCGGCGGTTGGTCATCCGTTACCTCACCACCACCAATCAGCTCGACGGTAATCGAGGGGGCGCTAGTCCTCTCACCTAGCCGTTGGTCCCGAGTCTAAGTCGGTAGCGCCTCTAGAATCGCCCAGTTAGAAAGCCAGTACCATTATTTGATTGGTCTATTCACCTCACGCTTGGTTCACTTAAACCGCCGTTCGATGTCACTCTCATCTCTCGCTCAGCTTCTTCAGCTGGCGTTAGATGTCGCTCTCTTCTCTGTCCCTCACTCTTATCATTCTTGTCTCATGGGTTTTCGTGTTGGTAAAACAGTTTACAGTAACGAGAAAATCTCGTTACAGTATTGGTTATGTATAAACCATCGATTGAAGTACCTCTGCTGATAGCTACATATACAAGTTGAGTTTGTTGTTTTTTGTCGTATTAAAACACAATCTCATTGAATGTTGCACGTTGCGAGTTATGAATAGTGATGGCGCAAGCTGGAACGAGTGGAAATTGGACTCGCTTGCATTTGATAGTCTTCGTGAGAGAAATTGTTTCTGTGTATGTAGATATTGGTGTCCAATCACGTTGTGAAATATCATTTTTAGCTAGAACATGTGGGCGACATTTGATTCTAGCTTTGTGTCCAATATTTTGCTGTTCGAAGTAAAGCCACAATCGAAGATTTCGAGGTCATTGAGTTGAGTTCGATGAGTTACTGGGTTCGGCCACAGAATGATGTGGATCAATATCAATGTTTTCGATATACATTAGCTTACCAATAGCCCCATTTACCAATCCATCGTCTACGTCAATATTGATCTCAATCATGTATGGGTATCCGTCGGCGAGACTCAACATGTAAGGAAGACCACCAGTTTCAGTAACATTCATATTATGTAATTTGGTTCTAGCATTGGTTAATGCTGCAGGATTTCTAAAACCAATGATTACATCGTGTGCTACACATTCTATAGCAGATTGTATTGCTTTTCGATTGTATTTATTGACGTCTGTGTTGTGATGAAATAGTCGTATCGCATTTAGAAAATTTTCGTTGCACCACTGAATACTATGGAAACGGTTCTCTATTAAATTGATCTCCGATTGTAATCGACTCTCGCCGTTGCCAATCTTCGTTAGTACAGTAGAGAATATAGAGTCACTTTGACGCACAACCTATATTAGTGGAAAGTAATCAAGTGATTGCCATAAAATTGCACCACCGATGGTATTACGATTTGGTTTATAAGCTGATCTGGCATTTACTGTGGGTAGTTTTCGGAAATCACCACATATTTATATTTCCAAAAGGATGACCGTGATCGTGTTATTTCTTGCAGTCGGGTGTGTATTTTTTCCAACGTGTCAGCTCCAATCATACTCACTTCATTGATGATGATGCATTTCAGTTCAGCAAACAGATTACGATAGCTATGTAATATTTCTAGCAAAAGTTGGTGTGTTTGGCAGGAGTGACAGAGATGAAATGCTGAGTGGACCGTAGTACCACCGAGATTCACTGCTGCTTTACCAGTTGAAGCGCAAGCTATATATGCGTTCCTCAACAAATTATGTTTCTGAGTCAAGCAGGTGTATGTTTCCATGATCGCTTTTAGGAGATATGTTTTACCGCAGCCAGCTGGTCCAGTCAGGAATATTTGCATTGGATTGGTATTGATACTGTGTAATCGATGTATAACTTCGAGTACAAGCTCACGTTGTACCGACGTCGGTGGCCAAGTGGATTAGATGCAAGTCTAGTGTACGAAAGGTTGTGAGTTCGATTCCCCGTGGAACCGAATTTTTCAACGGAAGGCTCCGGCGAGCAGGAGGTTGCTAAGAGAGGAACCGCCTGTACTGGCATGGGTTTTCTGTGGTTTCCCCATGCTACTTCTATGTTCTGTAAGAGTGCAAATGCGGTACAGTGTAGAATCCACAGCCGCATGCATAGGGTTGGATAGAGTGCTGAATAGGACCCGAAAAGGGAATCCGAGGCCGTCAAAAAAAAAAAGCTCACGTTGCTCTCGATTAGTTGATCTCATCGTATGACAGTATTCTTGCTTTGATAAAACATTAGTTCGGCGTTCAACGACTGCGATTGAGTTACTAGCAGTAATCATATCAATGTCCTCTGTATTTTCAGTTTGTTCATTACTGAATCTACTTATTATGAAGTTCTCGCGTATATTTATCTGGTCTTGAGATTCGTCTGTTGAAGAACATAGTTGTTGAAGTGCTGTCATTATTTGAGTTATATTGACGTTAGCTTCGAACTTTCGGCGTCGATCTAAAATGAGCTTTTCATTAGTGTCATATATTTGTATAAACTTGTTTCGGTCTATGATATCTATCAGCCCCTTTCTAACTGGGATATATAATAAAACCATCTCCCGTTTGTAATTGTCCACATCTGCAATGTCATATTTGCGATATCGAAATATGCGTGATTTGCTTCGCAGTTTATATGCATTAGTTGGTTGATGTATTACTTCATCAGCAATGTCACTAATGCTCCCTCCATCTTCACTGTCATGGTCTTCTTTTTTGTCGAGGATGTCAACTTGTATTCGGCTCTTTTATGTTTCGGAGCTGTGTTTTCGCGATCTTCATTGACATCAACATTAATCGTTGAAGATTTACATGATTGATGACGTTGTTCATTTCCATGGTTAACAATAAGAGGAATAATTAATGGGATGTTGGAAGAGTTCAGCAATACTAATTTATTGTCAAATCGCGACGTTTCGCTGCAAATCGCAGCTTCTTCAGGCTCTGAAAACCAATAACATCGGGGTCTGCAGCAACACCTGTCATTAATCACAGCCATGAACTATGCATTGGAGTGATAGAGGCGCCCCTCACGTATTTCTCCACAACCACGAAGTATGAAGCGAGACATAGAAGGTACACCTCCCGCCTCCCAACACAACCACGGAGTATGCAGACACAGACGGCACACCTCGTCTTCCCCCCGTTGCCGCGTGGAAGCGCCTTTCACGGCCACCTTTGGTGACTAACCGACCTCGTCACCTCGAGCCCCTCGATTTCAATTTTTCCACCTCTTCAGCAACCCCAAGTACATACGATTCAGGTTCTGAGTATCTTCTCTCTTGTTCACAGTGTCATGTAGGCAAATGTGCATCATCTCAGCAATATTCCTCTTCACCCAATGACTCTCGGTGTCCAAAATTAAAACATCCTCAAACGTGAATCTATGACCCTTGTCAAAGCAGTGGGTGGCCAATGCCGTTTTCTCTTTCTTCAGGAAACCTTNCTTCAGGCTCTGAAAACCAATAACATCGGGGTCTGCAGCAACACCTGTCATTAATCACAGCCATGAACTATGCATTGGAGTGATAGAGGCGCCCCTCACGTATTTCTCCACAACCACGAAGTATGAAGCGAGACATAGAAGGTACACCTCCCGCCTCCCAACACAACCACGGAGTATGCAGACACAGACGGCACACCTCGTCTTCCCCCCGTTGCCGCGTGGAAGCGCCTTTCACGGCCACCTTTGGTGACTAACCGACCTCGTCACCTCGAGCCCCTCGATTTCAATTTTTCCACCTCTTCAGCAACCCCAAGTACATACGATTCAGGTTCTGAGTATCTTCTCTCTTGTTCACAGTGTCATGTAGGCAAATGTGCATCATCTCAGCAATATTCCTCTTCACCCAATGACTCTCGGTGTCCAAAATTAAAACATCCTCAAACGTGAATCTATGACCCTTGTCAAAGCAGTGGGTGGCCAATGCCGTTTTCTCTTTCTTCAGGAAACCTTGGGGTGCGCAGTCATACCGATGTTGACGAATCCTGGCGCCCAGCCTCTGCCGAGTCTGTCCGACCAGGGTGCAACCTACGACCTGTTGTTAGCTGTATAAAAGCCCCTACGTACAAGGTAGCTAGGTTTTTACATGAGCTATTAGTCCCTGTGAGTAGTAATTCAAGGTTCAGTGTCAACAACTCAGCTGAGTTTGCTACGTTCGCCGGTGGGGTCCAACTACCGCAAGGTTATATTTTGGCATCCCTAGATGTAGTGTCTCTCTTCACAAACATCCCTAAAGATCTAGTGTTGAAGATCGTGGAGGACAAATGGGAGGAATGGTCCACACGTGTTCGTGCTTCGAAAGAGCTCGTGGTGGCGCTAGTAAAGTTTTGCTTCGAAGATAGTTACTTCACTTTCGATAATGAACTTTACGCTCAAATGGATGGCAGCAGCATGGGCAACCCGGCTAGCCCGGTTCTGGCAGGTATCGTCATGGATTACGTCATCTTAGAGGTCCTGGAGAAGCTTCCGTGCAACATTCCATGGCTGAAACTCTACGTAGACGATACTGTGTTGCCGGTTCCGGAGGACTCTATTGATATGGTACTACAGTGCTTCAATTNGAGAGATCCATCAGTTTTTTGGATGTAAAGATACATCGGATGAATGACGGGAGCCTGAAGCTCAATTGGTACCAAAAACCCACAAGTTCTGGGAGAGTTATCAACTACCAGTCGAACCATCTGATGGCGCACAAAGTTGGTGTGGTATTCGGCATGTTACACCGAGCAATTGGACTCAGTCACGAGGACTTTCATGAGGCTAATATTGACCGAGTGAAAGACACTTTAACGAAGAACGGTTATCCTGGGAAGTTCGTCATGAAGTGCGTACGAGAGTTCAAAAATCGAAGAGCTTCTGGGGTTGAGAGAGCGGCAGACCCAGATGCAAGGTCCTGTTTTAGGTTTCCTTTGGTACGAGGATTGTCTCAAAGGCTGAACAGGTGCCTCAGAAGCACAGATTCGAAATTGGTCTTCTACAACCTGAGATCAGTGGGGGATCTGTACTCAAAATTGAAAGACCCGATTCCATTGCTACCGAGGTCAGAAGTTGTGTACAAAATCCCATGCGAGTGTGACAACTGTTACATCGGACAGACTCGGCAGAGGCTGGGTGCCAGGATTCGTCAACATCGGTATGACTGCGCACCCCGAGATCTCCTGAAGAAAGAGAAAACGGCGTTGGCCACCCACTGCTTCGACAAGGATCATAGATTCAAGTTTGAGGATGTTTCAATTTTGGACACTGAGAGTCATTGGGTGAAGAGGAATATTGCTGAGATGATCCACATTTGCCTACATGACACTGTGAACAAGAGAGAAGATACTCAGAACCTGAATCGTATGTACTTGGGGTTGCTGAAGAGGTAGAAAAATAGAAATCGAGGGGCTCGAGGTGACGGGGTCAGTTAGTCACCAAAGGTGGCCGTGAGAGGCGCTTCCACGCGGCAACGGGGGCAGGGGGGTGACACTCGGCCTTCCAGCCAGCTCCGCTAAAGTCGCTTGCCGTGCCGTGGCGCTAGTTGGAACTCGAGCTGGATTTGAAGACTCATGCATAGGTGTTATCTGATATGAGTATTTTATTTTATAATGTGTAGACAACAAATCTGGCCTACGAGTGCCATTTTGCCACTTTTTTAGAGTTCCTGGATGCTTTGGAGCTCTAAAACAATTTCCTTTCTCGGGATTGTTTTTCTATCCAGTCTTACACTTACTCACAGCACAGCACGGCATGTTTTCTACATTAACAATTCACTATGAAGACATCAAAATACGCATTTTTCAATACACGTTGTACACTGATTTTTTACTCCTCAATTATTTATTTCTTTTCAACGATATAAGATATTCGGAATGATTATAATGTTGCGAAGGTTATGTAGTACGTTAGTTCTGTCAAACACCGACTCCGCATGACAAGCAGCGCCATGCCAAGCAAGCCACGCTAACGGGGACGTGATTATCTAAGGGCAATATGGTGTAGTGTCACCCCCCTGAACGGGGGGAAGACGAGGTGTGCCGTCTGTGTCTGCATATTCCGTGGTTGTGTTGGGAGGCGGGAGGTGTACCTCCTATGTCTCGCTTCATACTTCGTGGTTGTGGAGAGGTACGTGAGGGGCGCCTCTATCACTCCAATGCATAGTTCATGGCTGTGATTAATGACAGCTGTTGCTGCAGACCCCGATGTTATTGTTAGAATATTTTGCAATTTTTAATCAATTAATATGTTGTCGTTGCTCCACGCACATTTTATTAGAGTTTATAGTGACTACGTACTAAACCTGTCAAGGTAATTCTGTATATTTCAAGCAAGTGTTTACGCAATTTGTGCAATTTTCAGTATTACAGGCTAGAGTGTTTGTTTTGATTACAATCAATGTATTTGTGTGAGTTTTATTGTAAAAGTTAGAGTGACATTCGGTCATGGAATTTATGTCTGGTTTTCAGAGCCTGAAGAAGCTGCGATTTGCAGCGAAACGTCGCGATTTGACGATAAATTAGTATTGCTGAACTCTTCCAACATCCCATTAATTATTCCTCTTATTTACATGATCTATAATTTGCTGCAAAATCAGCGAGGTAAAGATGATCATACGTGGGTGGCCGTTCCTCATAATGTTGGATGATGTTCTTAGTCCAAATATCAGTGCTATTTGGTGCAATATTCTCCTCATTCATTTGTGATTTTCGTTTATAAGATTTCTGTCTTTCATGTGGCCACACGGTGGGAATATAGACTACATCTCGACTGCAGTGACTCATTGGTTGACGCAGTAAATACCAAGCTGCTTCCTGTGCTGACAACTCAACCATGTTCAATAGTTTAAGACCTAGACGTTTGAGTAAATTGCCATAATCATTATCATAAGATTCATGATCCAATTGTAATAAGTGACGATGGAGGTTGCTGATGCCACGATTCGATTTATTTATGTACTCCACTAGGTAGGTCGCGCAACTGTACTCATCCAATATGAATTGCAAATCCATATTAGAATGGAGGACACTACTGATCCATGGGTGAAAGATATTTGTATAGATTTCTCGGAAAGATCGCTTGAAAAGTAGTGTCGGCCGTTGTAAGGTGGGTCTAATAACATTGAGATAAGAATCTGATTGCAGTTTATGATCGCGCAGGAATGTTTCCAGATTATCATATTGTTTTTCTTCTTGTGCTTTCCGTAAATGACTTGCTTTCATGGGAAGGATTTCTCGTCGTCCATCTTCTTTTGACATTGGGAGGAGTATATGAGTTTCTACCATGGGCCAGTAGGGAATACCGAAGCGGCACGTGGCTTCTCCGCGTTTAGTGCATGTAAATGTATGTTGGTAGACTTGATTCCCATACATTGGCTGAGGGAGATCAGTTTGATGAACAGAGCATAGTTGCTCAATGAGTTTGATGGTTTCTGGCATAGTCTCACTCACTGCCCCATGAGTATCATTGTCAAGCCATAACAAAATATGAGCATGTGGACTTCCTCGTTGTTGGAATTCGATACGCTGAAAGTAATCAATAACGCGCAATCAATAACGCGATATTGGCCAAATGGGTTCCATTGAAGGCGTGACTGTACCATGGACATGATTACATTGAGCAATTTGTTGAAGTAAATGCAACATGTTACTGGATCTTCATTCATCAGATTGCAGCGTTGCGAACACGATAACTCAGATAAAGGGTCTTCAATGGATACATCCGGGAATTGGTCACTTAATTTGTACAATATACGGAGAAGGGGCGGCCACCGAATTTCATTTGCCGATAATGTCATGAACATTGTTGGCTTCCCCAATTGTCGAATCATAGCAAATAAATCTTTCTTGCGATCAGCTCAATACTGCATTGAATTAGGTTGTGACGAGATTTTCTCGTTATGGGTTGAAATCCCCTTAAAATATATGTTAACTCTTAACTTATTGCAAAGAGACAGTTAGTAACATCTAGAGGCGGCTGAAGAAAGCCGGGACTAGCTGAGATGAACGACAAACCGATGAAAGACCTAAGGCATAGCGGTTATGGGTGAAACCGCGACCCCTGGAGGTCTGAAGGACGTTACTAGACTATCGCTATTTTGAAATTCGCCCAGCATGTGGTAGGGGAAAAGGGGCCGACATACAGACTGTCCAACTGGGCGATTCCATAGGCTATGTCAGAGTAGACTGGGGACCAACGTCCAGGTAAGAGGACTGGTGCCCCCGGGATCCCGTCGAGTTGATTGGTGGGGATAGGGTAACGGAATGACCTATCGTCGCTGAGATATCCAGACTAGAGGGAGAAAGCCCTCGTAAGATTCTGAGTTAGTCGAATGCGAACGCTCAAGCGGTGAAGTCGAAAGGATTTCTCCGGCGTATACTATGGTGTTGGCTTGGAAAATGGCCAAGGGAATGGTGGGCGAATATCTCAGCGCAGCCAGGTACATAACTAATGGTAGCGAACGTAGAGGAATGCTCCTGCATTCCCCACAAACGGGAAAAAGAGTTATTTCGGAACTCTTGGTGACGACCGTGTGGTTTCCGGCGTTATCTGGTCTCGGCGGGAGTAGAGCAATCCCCCTATCGGCCCGACCATACGTCGCCATTTCTAGTACTCCCCGGAGGCAGTGATGCGCGATGACCGATGCGGTAACTGGTGGCCGTGAGTGTGGGTAGTCGTGAAGTGGGTAACAGTGTTCCACTTTGGTCGGATCAGCCTCTCGGCGTCCCAGGTTCTGAGGAGTGCCGGCTGATTCGCATTTAACTCTGAAACACTTCTGAGTCGAAATACTCGGGAGGAGAAAGCCTACTCAGAGAGTGAAAAACTCTCCAGGACGAGTGTAAATTCAATTTGCATGGATAATTAGGCCGTGAGGGTTAATTTCCACCCTGGAATAGTGGCTGATGACGTTTGGCATAGGATACTCCTAGTGGACCTCGTCCACTCTACCGTGTCAGACTGATTGTAGCTGGGCAACCCTTTGCTCAGCCACAGAAGTTCTCTGAGTGGACGAGTTTGCCTCAGAGGCCGGTTTTCCTCGAACCTCCCATGAAAGTTCGGCTGGCACCCAATTATCGAGCGATAGAGACGGCTAAAAAGTAGTTTGGATTTTTCCTGGGTGAACAACCCGGGAAAATATCCTTACAAGGTACTGATTTGAAAAATGCCAAGTCCTTATGAACACAGTCTTCAAGAAATTGTCGACTCTCTAGCATTTCTCGTGTTATTTATTCTGTTCCTTTCACACACTTGAAAGTGCTATATAATCCTTCGACAACTCGCTGACGAAGAATTTCCATAGCCATGTAGAGTATGTGAGATGGTGTGGCACCACGTCTATCTCTTCGACGAATCTCGCTTGTTGAAATCATGTATGAAGTCACGATGATGCTTGCGTTGAAAGATCGTGGAACTCCATAATATATTCCCAGAAATGACAATTCTTCAGCATATTGGTCATATAATAAATTCATTGGTCTACTACGCGCACCCGGAGCGATATCCAAGAACATGTCTTCATTCCAGAGAAGTGTATGTTGACGCGCCAAAAGCATCTCTGATTCTGAAATTTGTTGATTGTTATCTTATTCAAGGGGCTCTAGTAGTAATACACTGTCAATATTTTCATTAGATGTTGTTATTTTATGAGTAGTGTTCATTTTATCCAAAACATTGCAGTCTATCTTTATGATATAGTGGCGATACAGGGGAGTATTGACTAAATACTTGAGGCATGCTTTGATTACTGATTTCTTAACAAATTCGTGCAAGTAAATTGATTTATGAATCAAATTGCGTTTAATGTTAACGTTGAAACATTGGTCATCATCTAATTGAAGTAGAAGCATTTTTACCATAGTATTAACATCAACCGGCACATTTATTTTCTGACCAATAATTGAATAAGCTCCTTCGCGGCGAAGTCTATGGATTTGTATGAAAGGCAGTCGAGGTGACACTAGTCTTTCAGTGATAGGATCATGTGGTGGTAATCCTACTGGCTTTGATGGGTATTAGAAGCCATTAATTTTTGCTAAAGTTGATAACTTTCATCTACTCACACTTGAACAGGTATTGCATAGTTAGAACATATTGAGAACGCCTCGTTGGGCTTCTTCCGGGAAGAATGTTGTGAGTACATGAGCTTGCTGTGGTGTTACCCATGCGTTACACATGCTACGCCAAAGTCATGCTGTTTGAATGCTTCATCAAAATAAGTATTGCAGTGGATGCATCGGTTACTATTCTTTGTTGGAATTGAAAGATCCACTGGAATAGGTGGTTTGGGTAAATCCATGTGGATATCCATGTTCTCATTTGGTTTCTTCGCGGTATTCGTATTCCGTTTTGAAGGACCCTACATGATTGAACTGATATTTCATCTTTTATTCGTCATTGTTGTTGAAATCTCTGTGAGAATTGGAAATCTATTTGATCCGTTCGATGGGAAATGAGGTACAGCTCCTTTTCTAATACGCTTTCTTTTCATCGATTCCTGTAAATAATTGAATATAAATAAATAATGCAATTCAGGGAAATTTATATATTTAAGGTATTTCTAACAATTGACGGTGTTTTCTATATCTGTCTCCTGTATATACTTTATGAACAAGATGAACTTTACTGAGGTGTTATACTTTTTAGTGTATGGCGCGTATGGGAAGCACAGAATATACCGAATATACAGAA